TACCTTGCACATCTCTAGGCTTAACTCAGCCGTGCCCATGGAGCAGCACTCATCCTGTTTCAGCTGCAGCAAACCTGGGAAAGCCCATGCGGCTTAACCCCTGTGGGCAGCTCAGCTGCAAACAGACTGAGCTGTCCCCACTCTCCATCCCAAGGCCAGGACACCACCCTGTCCCAAAGTGCCATCGTATCCCTGACAGCAGCTCTCCTTTGGGGACATTTCCACCCTGGGGGACGCCTGCCTGCTCCATGCAAGCGGTAAAGCCCTGCCATGCCACAAAACTCTGCCTGGACCTCTCTGCTTTCCTCATTGCTGCAGGTTTATCGGTGCTGTTAGACAAATCAGGCCAAGCAGAGCTCGCTCCCTCATGAGGTGCAGCCAGGGGATGCCTGGGCCCCCCACAACCAGAAGGGTTGGGTGCCCCAGGGGTGCAGGCTGGGCTGTGCCTCTGCCCCACTTCCTCCAGAGGAGCAGGAGCCCCAGCGCCACCTCAATCAGCAGAAGTGCTTTTTTACCCCATCCCAGCAATGCTGATCTGGCGAAACCTTTTCTTAGCAGCCCCCAGGATGGTCCCTGAGACAGCCGGCCCAGGCTTCCTCACAGACAGGTCTCTCCAAAATCCAGGGGCAAAGGGATTGCCACAGCCTTCAAAGCCAGACTTCACCCCAAGAGTTTTAAAACAGCCAGCTCTCCAGCCAGCAGAGTCTTCTGTGGTTTAAAAAAAGTAAAATTTAAGTAAAGGCTGCTGGGTGATCCCCTACTTTAACAGATGCCTCCAAACCCATAGCTTTGACATTGCAAAATAAGCTCAGAGGCAAGGCAAGCCAAGCCAAGCTTTTTTTTTTTTTGCAAGGAAAAAGGGGCAGTGAAGGCACCTGATACCTCCCTATAATTAAAGACAGTTCCTTATTCCTAGCACCACTGCCAGGGCACCTATATCCAATTTGGAAATGTTAAAGTATTGCCCAGCTTCATTAAATTATCCATCTGACCCTCCCCTGTTCATTTCCCTACTATTTTTCCACTTTATTGAGGCCAGCTGGGTCAAACCGTGACCAGTTACTCCTAAGCAGGAACCAGCAATCCCTCCCCCAAGGAATCCAATGTGCCGAGGGGTCCGAAGACTCTCCACATATCAGTTTTCCCAGACAGCCTCCTTCCAACCACGGGTATACTTAGCAACAGCAGTCATCCTAGCAAGGGCCCTCGAGACTTCTATAAGGATCTGGAGAATTCAAGACAGCTGGGGATAGACATGGCAAAGAAAAGCCTAGGGCTTGCTAGCACAGCAGAGCCTCTCCCCAGGCGGTGACCATACATGGGCTGCCAAGGGCTCCCTGTAGCTCCTGGGGCGGGAAGCCCCAGAAGGAAGGAGATGGGGGAATTTGAGAGAAACCAATCTCTTATCTCAGACCCCATAGGCGAGAGAAACCTGCCTCATGAGCCATACTCCTGCTCAGGTGCAAATATCCTGCAGAGCACAGCCCAAGCCGTAGGGATGTGCACAGCCATAGGTGTAGCAACTAAGGTCAGGGGCTGCCTGAAGCCTCCAGAGCTCTATGGAGAGTGCTCTGAATAACAGACCCAATACATATTGGGTTATCTAGCCCTGGTGTAAGGCAGTCTTCCCCCACATCTTGGGCTCCCAGCCTCCCACTGTCAAGGCAGGAGGGTTGGCTCCTTCAGCCTGCACCATGTTGTCCCATCAGGGCAGGACAACCCAAGCAGCCACCTCCCCAGAGCCTACCCCAGTTTCTCACTTCTTTTGGGAAGGCTTCACATCAGGCTTACACTGCAATGGTTTCCTATACAAGCAATTCCAGTTCATGGAAGAGAGCATAACACCAGTTTGGTTTAGGTGGTGTTACGCTGGCATCAGCAAGACTTTGCCAGCATGTCCCCATTTGTATGGGGAAACAGAGTAAGCTATGTCCAAATTAGGATTTCTAGGATATTTTCTAAAGAAAGCTCCTCTTCTGTATACACTAGGCACAGTTAAATAGATAAGGTTCATTGTTTAAGCAAACCCAGCACCTTTTTTCTCCCCATATCTCCTCGCTGTGATTTTACACCAGGGAGCCTTGGGATTTACTTTCCTGGCAGCTCCATCACAAGACTCACTGCTCACATCTCCAGCATGCCTTAAGCTGTCTTAGGAGCAGTCTTGACTCCATCCATACACAGGTCAACTTGAAAAGAGCTTTATCCTCAAGGAGAGGAGATCAGAGAGCTGAGCTAGCCACAGGGTGAGAAAAGGTAGCCCCAAACAGCAAGCAAACACTTCCTTCCTCCATTTTGGGAGTAGAAGTCACCAGAGCCTAGCAAGCATTTAAATAGCGCAAGTAAAAGCAGGAGAAGTTTGGAGCTGCACATGAAACTATTACACAAGTTGGGAGGGAAAGTAATTCTCCACATTTTAAAAACAAAAAGGAAGTTACTTTTTGCTTGCTACTTCTTTTCCATCAAGTTTCATATTTCATTAAAATTCTAAAATGCAGCTAGGGAGGAAGCGTTGTGCCACCCTGCCATCAGTATTCATATACGCATTTTTTTAAACAAGTTTCTAAAGGCTGTAAGGTTTGGAGTAGTACAGAACAGATCCCTCCAGACAGCCTCTTATTTAGCTAAAATTCCAGCAGGAAACCGAGAAGGGAACAAGCTGACCCTGCCTCACCAGCAGCCCCCGCCACCTCACCCTGGCTGCGCTGATGTACCTGCGCATGCCACAGCACAAGGGGAGCAGGAAGGCTCAATCGCCTTAGGATGCATCTGCTCCTTGCTCCTGCAAGGTGAGCTGAGCCTACAGCCGAGGCATGGCCAGGCTCAAGCAATGCTGAGAATCCCATAGACCATGCTGAGAAACCCCTGCGCTGCTCCAGCAGCCAAGGCTTCCCCTTTGTTTCAGCAGAGTCATACACTGAGCCTTCCAGCACCTTTTGAAGCTTCCAGTCAAGTCTTCAGCCAAGGCTAATTGCTGTCAGGTGTCAGCCAAAACACTTACTGCAACCATTAGTGACAGGAGATGACACACCTTTCTCCTCTCATTGTCACTCAAGGGTTTTTTTTTCCTATCAACATTAACTGCGCTGGCTTTCAGAAGCCTTGGGGAGAAATGCTAATGCAAGCTTTGAAGCTGGAGGCAAAAAATCAGGCAACCCCCCAAGCTCCCTGGATGCTCAGCCTGAATCCAGTCCAAATCTGAGTACTTCTGGGTGATGTACCTCGCCGAGCTTATCTCTGTCTGCCTCCACCAGACAGATGTGGTCTCTGCTACTGGTCTGTCTCCTTTTAACCCCCATGGAAAGCTGTCCATGCTGGAGCAAACAGACCCCAAATTTTACAATCTCTGCTGATAAAACAACAAAGCAGAGTGGAGGCACAGAGAGATTTATAACCTTACAGCAACTAGCTTGAAACATTGCTGGGTTAATTCAGTTAGAGGCACAGGGTACACAGCAAGAAATCAGATGTGGCCAGCGATTGCTGCAAGGAGCGGAGGCAGCTGATGTCCACCCACTGGTCTCAAAGATGAGGCTGATTTCAACTGCAGAGCAGGTCCAGGTTGCCAGACCCCTTGCTGAGCTTGCCTGCTGCTGGAGCTGTGGTTCCCCACTTGATCAAACCCCCTTCCAAAGGCTTTGAACTTCAAAGGAGATGAGACCTTTAGGAAGTCTAAGTCTCTCCCTAGCTGGAGGAGCTTGTCAAAAGCCTGCCAGAGCCTGACCCATTTCAGCCTCATGGGTCATTGTTTTGGCCACGCACCCTCCTTTCCCACCATCACCCCTCCCAGTTTCCCAGCCTCCCAGTTTCCTGGGACTGGAAGGCAACCCTGGCGTTGGGGTACCCACTCCCCAGGCCTCACCTCTCACTCTCCCCAGGGGATTCATCTCCCACTCGGTTGACACCTTCTGCACCCTCCTGGCACCCCTCCGAGTCTGACATCTTCTCCCCAGGCCGGCACGGTGGCCCCACGGACAGCTCTGGTGCAAGGATGCCACCGCCGTTTCGCTTTTCCTGTGCTCAGCAGAAGTGAGCTGTGCCGGAAACTTCGTGGGCTGAGGGTTTGGGGGGATGGGAGAGGGGCAGAGGGAAGGCAAATCGGGGGTTTTTTTTTGTTTTTTTAAAACCATTGGGACTATTTTAAGGTTTTGCCTCTGCTGGCAGCTCAAATCGGAAAGTGCTGAGCTAACCCAAAGGGAAAGCAGGGGGCACGGACATCCCCACCATGGCAGGGAGAGGGGTGACCCATCGCTCCCCCAGCTGCCCATGCCACTTTGGGGACAAGCATCTCTAAACTGCAGCACCCTACAGTGCACTGGGTACCAGGGTGCTGCCACAGGAGCTGCTGAGGTTGTTCTGACTTCACACCTCTCAAAGCCCACCGGAGCCCAAGGGTCTGCTTCTGCCCTGCAGCCTCACCTCCCTTCCCAGCTCTGCTCCTTCCCCATGGCTTTCCGCTGTTGCCACCATGGGTGGAGGTTCTGCAACACCTCCTAGGGCTTGGACTCTTACCTCTTTGTCTCTTCACCACCGGTGAAGGACATGGCCAGGAGCCAGTGGTACAGCCTGGCAGGATGCCAGCGGAACATGGTGGCATGGCCTCACCCTTTCCTCCCCACAACAAGGGAGATGAGCATCCCCAGCTTCAGGGGGAAACCAACAGCAGAGAGGTCCCCTATCCCCACCCCCACAGCACAGCCCCCACCAAAGCCTCCCCATCCCCACCAGGACCCCCACAGGGGGAGCAGATCTTGCTGGCACCATGGCATGGGTTGGGGTCTGACCCCCCAGGCAGGCGACACCCACCTCTCCCGCCAAAGCTTTATTTACACCGCTGCTGCCAGGACGCAGCTCTTTGCAAAACCAGAGAGAAATGGCACCCAGTCGGTGCCCTTGAGCCTGGGGGGACAGCGGGGACAGGAGGGAGTGGAGGACAGGTGTGGAGGGGCAGGTGCTTAGGACTCGCCAGCCTCAAACATCTTCTTCCTGCCCTCCATGCCGGACTTCTCCTCGATGTTCTTCCTCCAGTCACCGACATCGCGGAGGTCCTTCTCCTGGGGGAGGGATGGGCACGTGGGTGTGAGCAGTGCCCCCTGGGATGAGAACCCACCCGGGTAGGGCCCTTCACCTGTCCACCCATGGAAAACCCCATGCCAGCTAGAGGAACCCAATTCCACCCATGCTGTACATCTTTTTGGGCTGCACCCTCCTTTTTCAACATCATGGGTGCCAGAGGAGGGAATATTGAGCAGGAAGAACATTATGGAGAAAGGCTCACCCTCAACCCTGTCTATCACACAGAGAGGCATGAGCCCCGAAAAACAGGGGCCAACTCCTGAATGGGCACAGGGGAGAAGGAAGGAGTACCTTCTCGGTGTCCTCCTTCTTGACTTGCTTCAGGTTGGCTCGGAGGTCCATGCAGACCTTGTGCTTGGAGCCCAGCAGGGCCCGCAGCATCGCATCAGCGGACATGCGCACCCTGCGCAGGGGTGGCCTCTTGAACTTGCCCCGCAGATCAAAGAGCTTCTGGCTCAAGTCTTCCAGCTGTGGGGGGACAAAATGGGGGGGCAGAGAGAGAGTGGGGCGTGGGTTTCGTGAGACGGATCCAAGCAGCATGGGGAGGCACAAAGGATGGGCTGGAGACTCTGAGGGATGGCTCCCCCGGAAACTCACCTCCTTGTTAGTCTTCTGTAGCTTCACCTCTGTGTCATACCTCTCCTCATCCACTGACTCTATCTTGGCATGAAGCTTTTTGCACAGCTCCTGGGAGGAAAAGCAGACAGGTATGTTGACTGCTAGGACCCACACACACGATTCCTCTCTCCTGAACGCTCTGGCTCTGAAAGACCTCAGTCCAGAAGACCAGATTCGGTCAAGACCAGGTGGCGAAGGGTGGCTCACAGGCCAGGTCCTGGTCTCCATGCTACTGGCTTCACACAAATGCTGCCTCAACACACCATCAGAAACGCAGCTTTCCTGCCAGCCAGACCCCTTTTTTTTTGCAGAGAGACCCCAGCTGTTTCTCAAGCCAATTCCACATCCAACCAGGGCACCCACAGGTGAGAAGAGGGTCAAGATGGGAAGGACAATCCAGATCCACCAGGCTGACTGATGGAGCCAAATCCTTTCTGCTCCAGCACAGTGAAAGGGTTAAAGAAGTCTTTACCTGAAGTTCCTGCATGGATCCTGGGAGCGACAGAGGTGGGCAATGCTCTGCCAGGTAGTTTTGCTTTTCCACTTCTTTAGCAGCTGCTTCTCTTTCTATTTCGGTGGCAGCAAGCTGGAGCATAGCACTCTGGAAGGCAGCAGGAGGATGGTCAACATGGAATGGAGGCGAGGGAGGAAGGCAGGGGGGGTTGGCAAGGGAGGGAGAGCCCTGATGGAGAGGCAGCTTGGGGAGCTCCCCATCAATACCAGCATCTGCAAGCAAGGGATACTGGTGGGGACCCAGTAAGGAGTGGGGAAAGGTGTGGGGGGCCCTCAGGTTGTGCATTGTGGCCTCTTCCAGGAGGGAGAGTGCCAAGAGCTAGCTGGCTCAGAATGGGAGATGGGATGGTTGGGACACACCTCACCCAGCCCCAGCAGTGCCACATACCTTCAGGTGCTGCCGGCGGGCAGTGGCTGCCCTCCTTTTTTTCTGCAAGTGGGAGGAACGAGAGAAAAGCAGGTTATTGGGTGCCCATTCCCCTTTCCATTCCCCTTCCCCATACAACCCCAGTCTGCTGAGGAACTGCAGCAATGCCAGGGAGTTGGCTCCAACCAGGATGTACAGCTTGACACACTATTGGTCCCCAAACCAGCAGCACTCAAAGAAGAGGCTCCTTGCTGAACCCAGCTTTGCCAACCTCAGGTAGCTAAAACCTACAAAGTGCCTCAGGAAAAGATAATGAGGATGATGAACTTGAAGATGTGCATATAAATATAACTTCAAACTTGGCTTCTTGGGACTTTTTCTCTAATTTCCTCTTCACTCAGACATGTGTTTTGCTTTGCACTCAACCGCCCTGATGCCCCTGGGCACCCGGGAGCTGTGGGATGTCTTTCTGAGCAGTCCCTGGCACACACGGTGAGAAGGACAGCCAGGCAGGTGAAAACATGAAGGCCAAGTAATTTCTGGAGCTGAAGGACCCAGCACAGGTGACACTGAAGGTGATGCTGTGAGAAACAGCAACCCCTTTTGCAACTCTTCCCCAGCCTGGCAGTTACAGGTATTTCGATGTGCTGCGTTAGGGCACTGGGGAGGCAGGTCCAGGGGGTGGGGGGGTCATCACAGCTGGAGGACAGACACAACCATAGGGTCTGCAGGCCTGGAGGCTGCTCTGGCCAGGAGAGGTGGAGGGCCAGGAGGCTGTGGCTGCAAGATGCAAATTAGCTCCCTCTTCCCTGGGATGCCATGTGAGCCCGGAAGACCAAGCCTGCCCTTCTGTACCCATGATGCGCTGGAACAGCAGCAACAGGTCTGCTATTTATAAAAGAAGCCACAACCTTGATGTGCCACTGCATTGCAGCTGTTTCCTCAGCATTTTGCCCAGAAGACCGAGGAAGGCTGAGTGTGGCTGGGGCAAGGGAAGCGCACCCTGACATCTGATATGCTGTGGTGGGGGAGTAAGAAAGCAGCGTTTGGGTGTATGTCTGTGCTGCACAGAGGAGGAAGTGGATAAGGATCTGCAGAGTGAAATGTAACAAAATCTGACTTGTTTTGCATATGCAAATGGTGCTAAGGCCCTCCTGACAGGGCTGAAGGGCTCTGCAGAGGAAAGGCACCCAGCTCAGAGATGCAGCGCACCATTAACCAGCAGGGTTTTGCTCGTATGAATCTGGCCATGGACCATGAAAGAGTGGATTCCTTGAGCACTGTTAGCCCAGGGCTTATTCTCCATCTGAAAACTGGTACCTTAGCAAAGAGTGCCCTCCCAGCCTTCCCTGGGGACACTGGCTTTGATGGGGAATCAAGGCACTTGTTGGACATCAGCACCATATTGTGGAGTTTCTATGTGTCCCTGAAATCCTCTTTTATCTTGGTGAGGACAAGCTTGAGCTTGTGGTGTTTTGGGCATACGGGGAGGTGCCAAGCAGAGACGAAGGATGGAGCAACTTGCTAAGAGGAGATACAGAGTGACAAAGCCATGCACAACTCTCCCACACTTTCCCTTGTGTTTCCCCAGCCATCTCCAGGATCCAAGCCCAGCCCTGCTCCAGCTCTGCCAGAAGCCAGGGAGAACTTGCTAAGGATGCTATCTCCACCCTGCTCACACTGCCCTGGATCCAGGGCTCACCAGATTGCCTTTAAGAAGCGATTTTGCAGTGGCTCGGTGGGCAGAAAACAAGGGGTTAGGTGTGGGGAAGGACGAGAGGATGCTCGGCCAAGGGCTGAGTACTGGATGGGTGATGGAGGAGAGGCTCTGGACCACCGCCTTCCCAGCACCATCTCGTGGCCGGCTAGGGAAACAGGAAAGGAAGGAAAAAAGCATCTAACTCCAAGCCAGGAGGCAGAAAAGACCTTCAAAAGGGATTTTTCTTCTACTTCCCATCTTTACCAGAAGAGGAAAGCAAGAAAGCCTTGCCATGAACCATTCTCCCCCCCTCCACACCCAGCAGCTGCTTTTCCTAAGGAGGAACGGTGAAGCCAGGATTGATGACATCAGCATTGCTAAAGGAAAAACCCCAGTAAGACACACTTACCTCTTCACTGTTCAGGATGAGCAGATGGACCAGGAAGGGAAGGAAGAGAAAGGGGATAAAAAGGCAGTTAGCATCCTAATCAGAAACAAGCAGAGGAATCTTAACAAGCATGAAAAGTTGGCAATTGAACAAAAGCTTTTAAATGCCAACAACATATTAGAGACAGAAAATGGGAACTTACTCAGACATCTTGCTTTAGATGGTTGTGAGCCTGCAATGAAAACCAAGGGGAAAAAAAGGTTCACAATTATTCATGCTGGTGGTGACTTTCTTGGGTTTAAAAACAAAGCAATACTCCTCTAGAAAAAAAAAAAGGAACATGTTTGCTCTTACTTCCCAACTTCTCCAAATTTTCATCATATGGGGAACTAGGCTGCAGTTTGTGGACAAGAGCCAAACACGTGCCTACTCACAGCCACACAAACCTCAGCATCGGGGGACTTCTGGCCCAGCACCATTTGGTCTGGTCACAAAGAGAGATTTGTGACAGTAATTCCTGCAGGCATGTTTCTTGTTTGACCCCCAAGAAACCATTTTATGCAATGAAGGAAGAAGAGCAAAAAGGTATTTTCGGTTTACTGCTTCACTTTGCCATGCAGTCTTGCCCCACTTCATGAAGAAGAAATATCCCAAAGCCTGCGGGAGGGTTGGGACACCCTGGGAACAGAGCCAGGCAGGGACCCCAGGTGACAAGGAAGGTCTTCAGAGGACACTTCTACCAGTATATGCATCCATTGCATGGGGCAGGGGAGCCTGTTGCAACAACCTCAGCACAGATGACGTAGAACGGGGTTGAAAGTTGTTGTTGAATTCGTAAAGGCACAAAGAGTTTCCCCAGGCAATTCCTTGCATTTCCTTTAAGTGGAAATTTTACAGGTACAACGCAGCATATTAGGGAAGAGATGGAAGAGCACCTTTGTTTTGCTGCAAATTATTTCCCTGTAAATAGAATTTTACTTTTCTAGCAGAGCAGTATCTCCTGCTTTTACCTCCTAATGGAAGGATGCAGGAGTGTTGGCCAAGCACAAACTAAACTAGTCCTTTGCAGAGCAGGCAAGCCCCCAAAACACAGCCATCTGCAGACCTTGGAGGCTCTGTCGGGAGGTGAAGTGTTAACAGGGGCTCATGCCCGAGGGAGGAGGTACAGCTTGCAGGGCCAAGGAAACTTTATCCTGGAAAATGTGCAGGCCCATCACATTATTGGGGCGGGGGGAGGAAAGTGCTTCTAAAAATGGTCAGGGAGCTGCAGAAGGAGCTGCAGCTGTCTCCTCAGACAGCAGCCTTTCCCCGGTGCCAGCCCCCATGACTCAGGGAGGTCGGGCGATGAGAAGCAAAAGCCACCGCAGGTGGCTGGGCTACAGCTGAGGGACAGGGTGGCCAAGGAACGCCAGCTATTTTTACTTGCATCCCTGCCCCGTGCCCGCAAGCACCCACTTCAGCAGCAGCGATGCTGCAAGCACTGAGGAAGCGAGGGGATAACGCCAGGCTGCTGCTTGCTGCCTGCAACATGGGCTTTAAATCACCTGTTCTTGCGGGGGGGGACACAGTAAATTTGGATGTCATCCCTGTCTGAGGGTGTTTTCTGAGGAGGAAGGCACTGCAAAGACCGGGTCGGGTGTAAGTAGGGAGCATCGCTGAGCTACCGCAGGCAAGGATCCCATGTCCTATGGCCCTGGGGAGGTCAGCATTAGGGAGCCTGCGGCTCCGCTTGCCCTTGCCACTCAAGCCAGAGAGCAAAACCAACCAAGGGAGTGGAAGGCATGAAACCAAAGAGAAAGAAGGTCGTTGGAAAAGACAGAGAGAGACTTTCTGATGCATGGACCCTCTCCTGCAGGCAAAGGATGGGGAAGGTTTTATTAGCACCCCCATTTCTCCCAGCAGGTCACCCCACCTGGCATTCATCTCCCTAAAACTCAGGTGAGTGCATCTCCTCCCCGTCACCCCATAAGAGCAAGCTGGGTCAGTAAGATACATGCAAAACGGCTCACCCAAGTCTGGAGGAGAAAACCAGAAAGTGCCGCTGGCTGGACAGGACGGACTGGCGAGCCGCAGGCAGCTGGCTGAGTGAGGAGGTATAAAAGGGCTTCTCGGGTGGCTCAGCAGAAAATCCACCTTCTCTTTAAGGGCATGGAGACCTTCTCAGACCAATGATGTGCAAGAGTCCCTTGTGCACCTCCCTTGGCTGGGGCAGGCCAGGCAGGCAGCCCCGGAGGAGAAGGCAGCCGCTGGGGACGGAGGGTGGGGAGGGGGAGGACATCTTCTACCCGTGGGGTGGGGAAGCACAGCCACCCCGGAGGAGCCAGGGAGGTGCTCTTCCTCAGGATTGCTGAGGAGGGAGCCTTCCTCCCCCTCTTCCTCCCATCAACGTGTGACACTAGATGTGGCTTCAAGGTTGTGGGGAGCCCGGGCTCTCTGCACACAGCCATCCATCTGCAAGACCTCTAATAAAATTTCCTGTTGGAGACATAGAGTGGCTTATCCGTGGACAGGGGCACAGCTCCACTCACCTCCAAGAGCTTGGGAGCAGTTCTGCCCTTCAGGAATGAAGAGGGGAAGGAGCCTGTACCCCCCAATTCACCGCCGATAGCATGTGCACGAGCAATCCCAGAGTGAGCTACCCATCACTAGCATACTCTTTTAACCTCACTCACCACACGGGAAGCATTTGCAGCTCCTCCCCATGTGAAATGTTTCAACACAACTAAGGTTTTTTAAAAAACAAACCTGTGGAGCCACTGTGGGCAGCCCCGAGGCTCACTGCAGTGCAGGGGCTGGGGAGAGGCAGCAGAGTATGGGGAGCAGCCCCATGCTACCAGCAAGAAAAGTAAACCCCCATGTCTGCTGTGGAATGCCCCAGATCCATATCTCCGTGAGTCCGAGGGAGAGGCAGGTGGAAATGTAGCTGGAAATATTCACCAGCCCCAGTCACAGCACATGTAGTGCGTGTGTGTAGGGGATCCCATGGAGACAGGAGCCCAAACAGCTCCTGCCCTCCTCTCCCAGCCCAGGCACTCCATCCCCTTTCAGCTGGGGTTTTTTAGGCTGATTCAGACGTGGCCCTGACAATATTTTCCAGGCGACTCTCAGAGGTTATATAGATAGCAGCAAATCCGCTGCTGCAGGCTTCCTGTTTCACCACCTTTAGCATCGTGCAAGTAATGCTGCAGATGCTGGTGAAGGAAGGAAGAGCAAGTCCTTGAGACAGGGCTGGTGTCTTGCAGGGGTTTGCCCCCATAGCAGGTGGAGGAGGGAGAAACCCCTAGTGTGGGCAAGGCTGGGTCTGCTCAGGATTTGCCCCTCTGAAACATCAAGAGGTAGATGGTTTGGGTAGCGAACATCTCGGTGTCAGTGTATGCTGGCCTGTAGATCTGAGCTACCCCCTTGCAAACCCACCGTGAGACTCCTGGAAATGCACAGCGAAGGTGCAGTTCAGCAGAGGTTTTGGCTGGTTTTGCCCTCATCTGGGCTCCCATGCAATGGCTGTGGGTCAGCACCTAGTGAAGGAGCTGGGCTTGGGAAGAGCTGTAATGAGGATCAGCCCGGTCCAACCCTCCTCCTCACTCATGTGCACATCCACGTCCCCAGGGTGGTGAGCTCTAATGGAGACAAGGGTCTGCAGCTCCAGGCAGACCTAGTAAACACGGAGGTTAAACTCCAGCAGCTTCTGCCCCCCAGGAGCATCCCTTGCTGCAGCTGCTGAGGAAGACTCATTGGTAGAGGCATCACTGCACGCAGTACCCATCTCCCATGTGGACTTCAGCAAAAACCAGACAGTTTGGCAGGAGGAATGTCTGCTTGTCCCAGCTAAAGGCAGTTTCTCAGAAAACAAAAAAACAGAGACCGAAGCAAGCACACTTGCAGACAGACAGCGGCCACCCTCAACAGCCAACAGCAGAAATCACCCATTCAGGGACAGCTTAGCCACTTCACTTCTCCTCTCAGTGCCAACTCCATAAGCTGTGGTTGACTCTAGAGTCAAACTGACCCTTCATTGTTCTTTCGTCTCTACAGCCATTTTCTTTAGCTCCCTATGCAGCTACACACATTCCAGCCACTGCTGGCCCACCAGTCCTCCAAAGAGCAGCTCAGCTCTTGGTGGGGGGGATCAAAACTGGGAGGGTTATCCATTCAAAAATTCCCCACACCCAAGAAGCTTCCTTCAGCCCTGTGAAATGAAGGTTTTCTGAACCTCCTGGAGTTTAGGCATGCAGCACAGCAAAAGAGATTTGCTCTGAGTTCAAGGTTTTGGTTATCACCTTGTGATAGGGAAGTGTTGGCCTGAAATAGTTGAAAAAAGAACCTGAAGGAAAGAAGTCCCATGAGCAAAATTTTGGCTAAACCAGATGTGTTTGTAGGACACGGAAGGAGTGGATGGTGAGGTGTGGTAATAGGGTGAGCAGAAGGTCGAGCCTCCGAGTCTGCATAAGGCTTTCCCTGAAGCTGCCTTGCACAAAGGTAGGGCAACTCTCCCCAAAAAAGAAAGAGGCCCCAGACCTAGAATGCCATGAGGAAGAAACCCAGTGAGGACCAGGAAGAACAGAAAAAGGAAAACGTCCCAAAGTAGGAGCTACGGTTAACATTAAGAAAGACAGAGGTTTCCAAAGGAAGTAGTGTAAGTGTTTGAGCGATGAATGAACAAGTTCCTTGCAAAAAACCTCAAGGAAGACATCAGGAAGCTCTAGGCAAGTCCTTCAGAGAGGTGCGCGGCTCTGTGAATATGAACTATGAGTGAGGGTATTGCACGGGGGCCGGGAGTGGACACACTGTTCACGCTTGGGTACCTTTCCTGTGGAGCAGATGACCTTGTTCCCTTCCCTCGTTCCCCTCCACTCGTGCTAGAGGAATGCACCGTGAGTATGGCCCACCATTCCTAGAGCACTTTCACCATCCTGCGAGGCCAGACAGAGGGAAGACCTGGCATGTACAGGAGGTTCTGCCCTATGCTTTAGAGAGACTCAGGTGTGGCACTTCTGGGCCAGGCTCTTCCAGGGAACCACCACGTGTTGGAAGGACTAAGCTGATGGATCCGTGCAAGTTGTCCCTCATGGCCATCTCCTACACCCTTACGCCTTGCCTCCTCTTCAACATCCTACAAGCATCAAGTAGACAGGCACTATGGAATGACATGATACCAGATAACACTATGTCTTATTTACAAGGATGACACTGTTAGCAAAAAGTCCAAGCCTTCTCAGCAGCAGTTGAGCTCATGGTAAAAGCTCAGGCAGGACTGCTGAGCAAACCAGTGTCTGACTTCCCTTTGCTTTCCCAAAATCACATCAGACCAAAGCAAAGCACATGGCTCCCATCCTGCCCAGAACACTCCCTCTTCCTCCAGTGTAGCCCTAAAAGAGTTCCCCACGCCTTACTTCTGATGACACCAGCCTCTAGGAACTGCTACAAAGGAAAGCCATCGCCTTTGCATCTTGTGCCAGTGCTGTCCTATGTACCCCACAGCTACAGTCACCTCATTCACCCATGAGATGGAGTTAAGGCTTTTGGCTTTTCCTCTTCAGGGCTGCTGCCAAACAACACAGCGACCCTGTCCATTTAGCTCCATGCCATTTTCCTTGACAGTGAGTGCTTCAGGCACGTGATGTTGATGCCCCCAGGCTGCAGGGACATCTCCAAACCCACCAGCAGGTCCTGATGACACTCCTGGATGTTCAGCGGGTACCGTGCCCTCACGAACTCATAGGCTGCCAGCAGCCTCATGCTGTGCTTGACCATCAGGTACTGAATGACGCAAGTAGGACCTAGAGAGTAACCATCTCTGCAGTGGATGAGGACATGCTTCCCTTTCTCCAGCGAGGCTTCGATGCACTCGTTGATGTGCCGGAAGCAGGGATGGCCCATTTTGTGACGATACCCATGGAGCGGAGCCTGGATGTCAACCTTGAGGCGTGACCAGCTGTGCCTGAACCCTCCCCGTTGGCACATGCAGGGGATGATGCTCAGGCTGTGGTCACTGGGCAGGCTGCTCATGTCGATGATGCTGTCAATGCTGTTGGTGCACAGCACCCGCCCGCTGTAAGCGGCATTGAGGTTCCCCAGGTAGATGCAGTCAGTTATCCGAGCGATGATGGGTCCTGTGAAGGGAGAACATGCAGGCTCTCCTGGTTTTGGGCCAGTCGGCTCCTCAGGATGCGGGTTCTTCTTCCAGCTCCCCCTGAGGGATTTCTTGGAGCTAGCATGGGGCAGGGGGCTGGAATTGGGCCATGATGGCGGCGAGAAGACAGAAAAGCAGCTGGAGAGTTTGGCCTTGGAAGGGGAGTCCGCTGGACAAGGCAGGGGAGGAGCAGGGGTGGGACTGGATCTGAGGGCACAAGAATGGGATGCCTGCGCCAGGGACCCTGTGCTGTGGGCTGCCCCTCCACTCTCAGCCTCTTCCACCTGCAAAAAAAAAGGAAAGAACTGGTGACACTGCAGAAACTTGGCTCTCCAGCTGCATGAGCAAGGAGGCATGAGCTGGCAACTGGCTTTGCCCACAGCAGCACTTGGAGACACTAGAGACCCTGAAGACCTTGCGCATCACTAGCCCAAATACCCAGCCATTCTGTTCCCCTGGGACAGGCACAAACACGCTGTAAAGGCTTACCTGGACCTGCAGACCGCTCTGCCAGTCCTGGGGTGCTGATTTGCTGGAGCGGTTGTCCCCTCCTGCTGATGGCACTAAGCAAAGTGACTGGTGTGTCCTACCAGGCTGCACGGCTGCAGACACCACATCCCCACCCTTCTCTTCATGCACTTCACTTTTACTCATCACCAAGTTTGGACAAGAGCCTGTAGGAACAGAACAACTCCATAGGGACACGCACAAGTACTCACACATAGGTGCTTTCAATATAAACGCTGGCCTTGAAGAGAAACAAGGCATTTTAATGATCCAGAGGGACACTTTTTGGTGTGGGCTGCTGGAGGGGTTTACAACTCATTGCAAGCTGGAGCCAGGAGGAAGGACGGAGTGTTTTCAAACTGAAAACACGAAGGGGTGAAGAGCAGCTGCAGGGAGAGGGCAAATAACAGAAAACCCCTCTGGATGAAGCCCCTTCTGACCATGGTAGCACCCGGGGCCTCCAGCTTCCGGCAATGGAGACGCTGTGTTCAT